TTTTAAATCAATATATACATATATATATATGTATATATATATATATATAATGAAAATACTATAAATTATGTATAGAAATGTAAAAAAATATTTACAATATATTCATAATTAAAACTTATTTTCTATGTTGTTTTAATTTAAATTAATAATATCATTTATTTATGAAACATGTACTAACAATCCTCATATTTTACATCTCCATATAAGTTTTTGAAAACATTTATAATAATTTACTCTTTCGATCTCTTGATTGTAAATGGATTTAGTGATTTATAAAACTCAGTATTTAGTTGGATTTTTACAATTTTTTTTGTGATGATTTTTTACTCTTTTTTTTTTTTGTGCAATCACATATTATTAAATTTATTTATTTCCTCTTTAAAAAATGTTCATTCGATTAGCTCGCATCAACAAAATATGATATGCAATGCGCTGCAAAAGTTCAATTTAAATTAAATTTTCAACAGAAAACCCTATTTTCAATTTATGTTGAACATAAATAATAAGTATATGAAATCTAGTATCTTTTTTTTAAAAAGTTTGAAAATGATACAGATTCTAATTTTTAAAAATTTGATGGTACACAGATCGATATTCATATTAATAAATACATTTTTATATGAAATGAACATTTCGACTTAAACTACAAGATTGTTATAACATTTAAAATCGAGGCCCTGAGTGAAATTCATAGATTTGTCACTGTGTCTACCTGAAGGGCTTTCACCTTCTGCAAATTTCATCTAACAACAAGCAGGAGGGCTTCTTCTTGATGAACTCCTCCATCCACCTGACCAATTTGCCAATTCATTTCCATCATGTTCAGTGACATACTCAAAAGCTATGATCCCCTTGTAGAAAGTAAGATAATAGACCCGATATCCTTGGAAACAAAGCCGACTCTCTCTCTCTCTCTCTCTCGAAAATTTCGAGAGAATGATTTAGGCGTATTAGTTTTAAGAATATAGCAAACCCAATCCATACATAACATTTCCTTCTTAGCAAACCCAATCTATTTCTCAACATGACATTTCCTTGGAAATTTTCAAGAAGAAAAAAGGCTTATCAATACTAAGATTTCCTTAAAACATATCACAATGTTTACTCGAGGTAACTATTGCCCTAGTGAAGAACTTTTAGCATCTTCAAACAATTCATAAACTCAAATTAGGGAAATAAAAAGATATGAAATCCACAGATAACAAACACCACCAGGGATGGCCTAAAAAAAAAAGTAAGTGACAATTCATTTAAGCAGCCATTCCATGAGTAAGTTCAAATGCTTATACATTTATTGGCACCTCCAAATATGAGCAAAGAAATAACCGCAACCATTCATGGCAACCAAAATTCCCTGTTACTGGTATAGGTCAAAGAGCCATAAGAAAGATCGTAGAAATATGATAATTGTGTCCATTGAAGCATCATATTATACTTCAACTGGAAAAAAATACCAAATAGAACCAATAACAAATGTATCTCCAACTGTCAGAAATGTAATGACTGTCTAACAAAAGGCATCTTCAAGCAGTAGCTTCCTTGAGATATGCAATCAGATCAGCACGTTCTTGAGGTTTCTTTAATCCAGGGAAGACCATCTTAGTTCCAGGTATGTACTGCACCAATAAACGATTCACATTTAATGAAATCAATCACTTATTTTGGCAACTCCAGCTACTCGTGTGACTTCAAGTTTATGAGGATCAAATAAAACCAACGGAAGGAGATAATAACCCTCAGATCCTTCTCATAATTAACCAACGGAAGAAGATAATAACACTGAGAAAATAACTATTTAACACCAGAACCAACAGGTAAAACAGCCAGGTTTGCAACTAGTGCACACAATATCTAAGTACCCATGGACTTTCAAAGGTAGATATGCATATATACGACATATAGTAATACAACTACCAAACCACATGCAACTTTTTGCTGGCAAACCCCATACCTGCTATATACTTCAATCCTATGTGAGAGTATTTCTTTTTTTTTTCAGTTTGTTCGTAAACACACTCCTATCAGATGTGAAGCCGCAAAGGGAATATAATAGGGGCAAGCAGATGTATCAAACTTGCAGATCACCTCAAACACAAGAGCTCAGGTTTTACATGAATTGACAGAATGAAAACCATATAACACTTGAATAAGGTCATATTCACAGCCAAAAGTTAAGCCGTCTCAAATGCCATGGAACTCCAACAAACACATGCCCCTAACAAAAAGTTAGCATAAACATAAAATGAAATGATATCTTCAAAATGCTCACACAGTGTGAATTTATAGATCCAGATTAGAGTTCTATAAACCAATTCTCAAATACATTGGTCCTATTGATGTACCTTCTTAGGATTAAGCAAGTAGTCATAAAGTGTATGCTCTTCCCAGTTCACGGCCTTGTTCTTGTTGGCAGCTGAGTATGAATAACCAGGTGTAGTACCAGACTGTCTTCCGAAAAGGCCATTCAAGTTGGGACCTGGAAATCTCAAAGACACGCGTAAGAACTACGAACAAAGCAGCACCAGCAGCCAAAATAACATAATAGAACCAGGAAAATTAAGCTATACAAGATCATGCTTCACCAAGAATATAACACAGATAGACATACATACAGCCATGTATGAGACCACACAATCATTAGCATAGGGAACTATTTAAGCCAGAAAAGTATGTTTACAGTTGAAGAAAACAAATCTATGTACCCCCACCAACTGAGATGAATGGAAGAAACTCCATGATCCAATGTGCCAAGAATATATAACCCAAATCGAACAACTGGAACACATATTTAGAGCACTACATTATGGAATATAACAGGAAACAGATCAACATACGGCGCAAAAATCTTCTGTTAATCAAAATCAGATTCGACAAGCACACGGATCGCTACAAATCTCGCCCCCAACAACATCAGATGCATTGTGTTGCATAACGAAACCGACTTAAACAAACAACCAATAGATGAATCCACTATCTCATCAAGGCTACTGAACCAAAACCAAAAGGCCAAAATCACGTTCAGACAAATATTACTAAACACCGCGAGATCTATGAAAATCTATTTTTCTAAGGACGACACCAACACCAGATCGGGCGCACAAACATCAAAAGGAGCAAATCAAAACAAAATCCGGCACGCTATTGAACAATAATCTATAAAATAACATGAGAGAGAGAGAGAGAGAATAAATGAAATACCCTGTTTGTGGCCAGCGCCCTTGTCGACGGTATGGCACTGCGCGCACTTGGTCTTGAAGATCTTCTCACCGGTTTTGAAATCGCCAGGCGGAGCTTCATTGAAGGTCGCCATTGAAGAATTAGGTAGCTGCAGATGTAACGAAAACCTAATGAGGAGATTTGGGCGTTGAAGAAAAGCGAAAGAGAAGAAGATTCT